AATTCGTTTGAAGCTCGGCGACCAGTGTGTGAAGGAAGTGCTCGTCCCTCAAATCGCGAAACAATCAAAGAGAAAACCGCACGATAAGGTGATAGCTGTGCTCAAGACGGCACCATGCCACCTTTCCCAAACAGAAATACATCTCCTCTGGCAGCACAGTTCTCATCCAGGCCCCGTCAATAGTGCAAGCCAGCGGCGTCGTCGTGCTGTGAAACCCACGCGTCATCTAGCCCGCGGGAGAGGTACATCAACCTCAGGCCCAATCTGCATGACCAGGCCAGGGCGCCGAGCTTCAGAGTCGAGCACGCCAAACACCAGCGCTTGCAAATTGGTCTGCATAAATCCACTTTACAGAAGCCCAAGGAAAAACGCAGGGGACCCTCAAGTTGTTTTCCTCACCGCTTTGTGGGGCCACTTTTCTGAGAGGGGCGCCAAAAAACAAAAACGGTGCGAGCTCCTTCCGCAGCGCCCGTCAAGTACCACAATCCTTCCAGGATTCCCGCAACTCAGCGCCATGTCAACTGTTGGAAGGTCTTCGTGGTTAGGCAAACTCGGTTTCGAGGCTCTGATTCTTAAAAAAGGGACCCAAATCCGGACTCTTCAGCCAAACAGTCGGACTGGCATTTGCCATTGTGTATGTCAAAACCAGGGACCCTCCTGCATCGGTCTGAATGATGCGAAAAGAGAGCCAGCATACAACCAGCCGTTGGAAAGGGTGAACGTGGCCAAGCCAGGTTCAGCCAAGGCTGCAACCCCCCCGCCGGCAATGTCAAACACTGGGCTCGCCACGCACGCTCCACTTCACTGGTCTTGCCGGGCTCCTTGGTGTCGGGAGGGTATGGTCTGATCAGAAGCAAGGGGAAACACGAAGTGCAACAAAAGGCAATCGTGGCCTTCCATTCATCCTTTAAACCATCCCTTCAACGAATCTTCCTATGTCAGTCAGACACCAAGGCAGAAGTTCCCCACAAGGGCAATCAAGGAAGCAGAAGGGGGCGTCATGGGGGCTGAGTTTTTGGATTCCTGGCGGCTGCGTTTTTTCGTCAAAAACCAAAACCAAAAGAAACATCATCTTCATCTGCTGGTTCGAGGCCTCAGGTTGTTTTTATTGTTATGTTTTTTCAGCTTTTGGCGCGTGACTGCGACGTAAGCTTTCCCTTGACCGCGTGTTGACGGTCAGGTTGTGCGATTGCGACATCGCAGGCTGTTATCATGACTTGAGGGTGAACGCGCAAACGGTCATGCGCCTATCGAAGAAGTACACTAGCTGCTATTTCACGCACTCGGCAGATGAAGGTCTCTACTAAAACGCGTTGTTGGCTGACACTGGTTCAAAATTACCAGAATCATCGGCAGTGCGTCAGTGATAGACGAAACATATCGAACGTTCGAACACTGCGGCTTGCGTGGCGCCTTAAGTCCAATAGCCGCGCGCCAACAATTGGCGTTGCAAATGATCTCCTGAAGGATGTTCTTGCCAGCGTCCCAGAGGATCACCCGCGCGCGCAGGTATATGGCAGTCATGACTTCCGGGCGACACCGCGATGGTACAAGAATAGCACGATTAAAAGAGGTATAGCGGTGCGATAGTGCCCTCGCTGCTCCGGCAAAATTGTCGTTCCCACGACTGCTGCCGCGGACATTCGGAAAAACGAACAAACGGCCGTGTTGACGCCAGGATAGCGCAAACGCAAAATTACAATCGCTTGAATGTTTTTGAACGGGGTATGAACTCGCGCCGGCGGCCTGAGCCTGCGATCGATGTGCAAAACCTGATGACAATCGAAGGAGATGACGACAGCCTCAACTTTGGACACCAAACGTCGAACACCAAAAGGCTCTTGATACTCAGTGTCGGTTCAGCGCCAATTCAGATCCAGCCTTCGCTAAGAAACGGATGGGTTGACCTGTGGAGGAAGTCCCCGGTTGCAAACTGACTTCAGCCTAACATGGCGGCCTCGGCCACGCTGCGGTCAAGCGCGGAAGGGCAAGGTATCATCCTTTGCGGGGCCGGATGGGCTGGATGGGCCACAGGCCACCCCCTGAGGCCACATCTGAAGCTCCCCAGGAAGCGATGTTAAGGCAGAGGAGCTCAAGCCAAAGTAGGCCTATGAAGTGTGCTCAGGCGGTCGGTCCTGGCTGCAAGGTGAAGGACTGTCTGTTGTGCTGCAAGACGCAAAAACCGGCAAGCCTGCTGTGGACTTCGCCTTGGGCTCAGGTGCCAGGCTCCAAGCCGGGCTCCTAAGAGGCGCCTTGCTCCACCGTGCGCTTGTCGGCGAAAGCGACCTCGCGGGTCTCCGCGGCGACCTTGAGCGTGGAGAGCTCGTGCTCCTCCGCGGCCGACTCGAGCGCATTAAGCGTCGTCGATGCCGGGGCCGGCTGCGGCATTCTACTGTGATGCGCAAGCTTCTATGGCACTTGCCTGTTCGTTCCAGAATCGAAGAAGATCGGGAAAATCTAGCTAGCTTCTGGCCGCGCAAACATCCGATCTGCGATCTGCGAGATGCACGAAATCGATGCGTGCATCACGCGCTGGTGAGTGAACCAAGGCATCTAGTCAGAAGGCCCTCCAGGGTGTTGCAATGCAGCGTCTCAGGTTGAACTGTTGCCTGCCACTGCACGGTGGTTGTTGCGTTTTTGTTGTTTCTGGTTTTCTCCAGGTTTGGTTTCAATTTTAGGGTTGGTTGGGGAGGGTAAAAAACAAAAAAACAAAACGCCCAACAAAAAAACAAACATCTGACCCAAACAAAAGACTGTATATCTAAATATCTGTGTTCAAAACGCAGCCCCCAGGAATCTGCAAAACGCATCCCCCCAAGACGTCCCGCCATCCAAAGAAAAGGGCGCTCTAGCCTTGCCATGGCATTTGCAGCGCCGTGCTCAGCCCAACCGCTCCCTTCAGGCAAGTCTCCAGCTGGATTGAATTAAACGACCAGCGCTGTTGGCTCGTCTCGTCCTCCCCTGCCACAAAGCTTGACAATTGGATGAGCGGCTTTTCACCGGGACAGTCTTTGCTCTGAATGCGGGGACAACAATGTGGTCCCGCCTTGTCCTTTCCTTTCAGGGCGGTGATTTCAGCGCGTCCACTGTGTGGGGAGAACCATGTGCTATTCTGGAGAAGCAGACCCATCTGCTTCTCAAACTCAAAACATGATTTATAAATCGCGCGCTGAGGGTGAAGCAAGGTGTCTTCACTGACTGGACTATGCGAACGAACTTGTCGGCACACCGCAATCGGCCATGCGGAGTTGCACCTGAACTCCTGGTGGGAGTTGTGCCAGGACGCATGCTGGCCTTGCAACGAAGAAACATGCATGGCTGTGGATCAAGAACATGTACCAAATGGCACTTGGCAAATGGAACCAAACTCCAAAACCTGCGTAACCCTAGCTCTTACACCCGTAAGCCACAAACAGTTTTAGTTGAAATGCCGCGTCAACCGAACGATGGAGCAACCTGTAATATCGGGATGCGCACTGATAGAAAAAAGCATGACACATTGGAGTCGAGACATTGCATTCAAAGTACAATCTAGGTTTTGAATGGGTCTGGAACGAGGGGTAGAGACGCAAAGGGACGCCGCTGGTACCACAAAGCTTGCATTGCAGAAAAGAAACGACTGCTAGAGGCCTAGAGCCGCGAGTACTGCATCGAAAGCTCCTTTGATGATTCTGCCTTTGACTGCACTGCCACCCGCATCCATTTCAATTGTTCAGCGCTTTGGGTAGTTGAAGTTTGGTTTAACAGCTAGAACAGCGGGTTTCAGAATCGTAGGTTCGGATTAGGGCACAAAGTGGATCAGTCAATAGCTCCGTGATTGAGCGAGCCACGGCTTTCAATGGTGACACGACATGTCAAGGGGCCCAGTGATAGTTACACTCAAAACCTGGTACTAAAATGGTCCGTCTACCCAGAACCATGCAAAGAATTAAGAAGGCTGCACCCATTTCTGGTTGAGATTGTCCCTGAGTACCCTCCGATTTCCTGGGTTTTGATTGAGGCTCAAGTGTATTTGCCATCTTCTGCCCAATTTGGAGAGGAAATTCTCTGAGACACATTTCGCAGCACTCATTTCGAGCGCAAGGCCTTGCGGTCAGCGACCTGCACGACTGAGACGGGGCCAAAAAAAAGAAGGGCACAGCCACTTGCCGTTCTCACAGAATCCCTAGGCTCTTGGAGCTGGCTGTTTGTAAGGGAAGCCCCAGAAAGCATGTGTTTTTCCCTGAAAACCACAAAATGGGCGCTTGTCCGGCTTTAGCCGTCGCCCACGTGCAGCAGGCCTGAGCTGCAGCCATGGGCTGCGCATCAGCCTGAGAGTCCGTGTACACTGAGTTCAAGGCTTGTGGGAACTTGCTTGAGACGTGGAAACCAACAGCCCAGTAGAAGATGACAACTTGCTGGAAGCTTTGGGTGAGCTTCCACAAGATCTGCTCAAGCGAAGCAAAGCAAACATGGCTCTCGTGTTCGAAAGGCGCAAAACCTCCCCTCCCCCGGGGTCCCCCCCTCCCCCCAAAGGCACTGGCCCGGCCCTGCCTCCCGCGGTACACGAGAAGATGGCCGCAGGCAGCCACAAAGGCGCTGTAAGCTCATCGAGACCCGGGGACCCCAGAGTTCCGACCCCAAAACCGCGTACTGTGGCTGGGCTGTGGTGGATTACTCGAAGCTCAGAGAATGCAAAGCTCGTTGTTCCTCAGCTCTGAAAGAGATCCTGCAAACCACTTGAACCTGAGTTCAATCTTAATTTTTTGAGAGCTCTGCAGGGCGCTCTTTGTCGTTGTTTCCGCTTTGTCCTCTCTTTGTTTGATGCGCATGGCCCGAAGGCGCACTTCCCTGCTGCCTAACTACCTGGTGGGCCGAAAATCGGGTGACGGCTCGTCATTGGGATCATGAACACGCCTTTTGCCGCAGCCTTCTCCCAACTTGCTTCCATCGACTTGCTCCCAAGATTCTGGCATTGGAGCTTCCATGGCTCAAGCCAAGGGAGCTTGCCCGCACCCTGCCTGCCGCAGCACAGCTGCTCAGACACCTTCCTGAGTTATGAAACTCGGACCAACATATCCACACATCTCAGGCAGCGACTCTTCTGGGCGAGCAGGCGTCGACACGGTCGCCTTCCGTGCGCCGACATGCGGGTGTCAAGCCTTTGCCCGCTCCCACATTGTCGCACTTGTTCAAGGGCAAAATCTCTCAATTGAACCAAATGTAGTAATGTGCCACGCCTGAAAGCTGCTTGAAAGGAGGAAAAAAGAGAACACAAGCTGTAATGCTGAGGATCTGGTCACTTTCCTGCCAAATCAAATGTTGGACCTGGTTTAATACGAACATGTCAACTTGACTTCTCTAACAAACACATCCAACTGTTTGGGCACCATCTCAAAAAAAGAAAAGAAAACACCACAACACCCGAACCGTGGGGAACGTGATTCAGCGGCTTTCTGTTCTGTGGTTCTGCCGCAGGCCTTCTGAACCTAAGCCCTTCTGAATCTGCCAAGCGTAGGCATCAGATCCAAAAGTTGTGGTTTTGTCCTGGTCCCTAGCCATCAAATCCGCCGACATTGCTCGGCGTGTCGGATACCTAAGAGAGGATAGAGGATAACCCCCCCCCCTAACCCCCCCCCCGCCCGACGTCTATTACGTAGGTTTTTGGGGGGGGGGGGTCCCCCACGTACCGCGCGGCAATTTGATGACGTTCCACTAAACGTAGTCTTCGGGGAGCCGGTGTCGCAAAACAGGGGTCCCAGGCTCGATTCCCCCTGCCGGCTTTTTTGCTGGCTTGGGCTTCCTGCATCCTTTTGCCGAAAATCTGGCAAAACTCTGTGTTTTTGGACATCCTCTTTGCGAAAACGCTAGAAAAACCGTGTATTTTGCGGGAAATACTGGGGAGCAAGGGGAAGTGCAAGGATACATACATACATGCATACAGACATACATACAGACAGACACAGACCTACATACATACATACATTACATGCATACATACATACATACTTACATTACATTACATTACATTACATTACATTACATTACATTACATTACATTACATTACATTACATTACATTACATTACATTACATACATACATACATTACATTACATACATACATACATACATACATACATACATACATACATACATACATACATACATACATACATACATACATACATACATACATACATACATTACATACATACATACATACATACATACATACATACATATACATACATACATACATATACATACATACATACATACATACATACATACATACATACATACATACATACATACATACATACATACATACATACATACATACATACATACATACATACATACATACATACATACATACATACATACATACATACATACATACATACATACATACATACATACATACATACATACATACATACATACATACATACATACATACATACATACATACATACATACATACATACATACATACATACATACATACATACATACATACATACATACATACATACATACATACATACATACATACATACATACATACATACATACATACATACATACATACATACATACATACATACATACATACATACATACATACATACATACATACATACATACATACATACATACATACATACATACATACATACATACATACATACATACATACATACATACATACATACATACATACATACATACATACATACATACATACATACATACATACATACATACATACATACATACATACATACATACATACATACATACATACATACATACATACATACATACATACATACATACATACATACATACATACATACATACATACATACATACATACATACATACATACATACATACATACATACATACATACATACATACATACATACATACATACATACATACATACATACATACATACATACATACATACATACATACATACATACATACATACATACATACATACATACATACATACATACATACATACATACATACATACATACATACATACATACATACATACATACATACATATACATACATACATACATACATACATACATACATACATACATACATACATACATACATACATACATACATACATACATACATACATACATACCTACCTACCTACATACATACATAAATACATACATACATACATGCATACATACTTACATACATACATACATTACATACATACATATATACATGCCTACATACATACATACATACGAGAGAGGGAGACTGGGGAGAGAGTGGCTTCGGGGGATGGGGAGAACGGGGAGCGGAGGGAGGGAGAAAGGACGACAGAACACACCAGGGAGACAAGGGAGAGAGGAAGAAGGAGAAAAGGGAGAGGACAATGTCGGCGGACTGAGCCGGAGGCTCTAAAGTTTACTTGCGTGAGTCGTTCTCAAACACAGGGCAAACTACTGCTGGGCATCGTCGTGAATGTCAAAGAATTGATGACAAAGAACGAGGCAAACAAACAAACATAAGGGGCTTGTCAATACCAGAGTCCATCGAAGTCTTTGCCGCCCAAGAGACTCCACTAAAGCCATACTGAGCAATACTATGCCGATTTGAAAGCAGAAGCAAAGCAACAAGAAAGAACAACTAAACCAAATCCAAACCAGGCTGACCAGCGGACGAAGAACGAAGACTAGTTTGAGGACGGTCACCTCAACTTATCTGACTGTATGTGTGGGGGGTGGATCCAAACGGGGTACCATATCCAGCCTCAAAACCTTTGGAATCTCTAACCTTCCAAAGGAAAGATCTGGAAATGATCTGCAACATAACAAGCGTGATACATGCATGGGATATGTTCCAAACTGCGTTGGGGCAGGAGGATTCCTTTGTGCCTCGTGAGGGACTTCCTGGGACGTTACCCACACTCACATACGGCCGACAGCACCTGAGCATCCTCTGGGTCCGTCTCCCACGCGGTGCGCCACCTGCTTAGCTCCTGAACTCTTTGAATTGGATCAAACACAACGATCTCCGCAAGTTCAATCAGAAGTCCTCCTCACTTGTTGCCCTCATCTGCAGGCTCTTGTCGCCAAGCTTTACCTCAGGAAACCACCTCTCTGTACTCTTCTGCCTTCTTCAGTCTACCCTCATACCAAACACTCAACAACTCGACCAAGCCCTCCAGGAAGCCTCGACCAATGCGCCTCTAAGGCTCAAGAGCGCAACTCAGCTTCCAGCCACCATGACATCATTTTCCACCTGGGCAACGACATCGAGTTGCGAATCCTGCCAGATCGACAGGGGTTGCTTTTTCAGGACTGCTCTCATCGTTCAGGGCGTCAGTTTTGGAAGGACAGGGGAAAACCGGTGCTTTTAAGGCGCCTTCTGACACATGTCCACTTCCCAAACAGCGCTGCAAACACTCTCGTTTTGAACATCATGTTTGGGAAGCCAGGCAAACGTCAGCACGTGCCGTGGCCCGCTGCATTTCCCGCCCGTTCCCGTCGCCTCAAAGGCAGTGATGTCCTCCATGAGGGCGCGGCATCGGGCTGCAGCGCCTGGCAAGACCAGCATGCCCAAACAAACGCGTTGCTTCTCGTTGGCAACTGGACTGGCTTGCTCATCATGCGCTGATCCAACATGCAAGTACATGCATAGGTGTACATTATACATATATATATATATATATATGACATATACGCGTGTGGAGAGTTCCAGCTGTGACATCACTTGTCAGCTTGACGCCCACGTCGCCGGCGGCGTGCCACGCGCGCACGTGCGAACACATACACATACGCGCGCACGCTCGCCCGGCCATGTCACCTGCGCTCAGGCATGCTCGTGCGCACACGTACGCACACGCAGGGGCACAGGGTTCTGAAGGCTGTGAAACTCCAAGGTTAAATGGGGCTTTTGGGGAAACCTTGGCTTGTTTAGCAGATACCCTTGAAAGGCATGCAACCGCCAAAAAGCAAGAAGTGGGCGCCCTCTAAGTGGACGCAGGCTCGTTCTGTCATTGTCAAAAAACACAAAGGCAAAACAGAAGAATCTGCTTGGCAAGATTGACAAGCATGTCTTGGCAGCAATCCAGCCGCAATGGCCAAATCTGCAAGCAACATGTGCGTCTCAACAACCTCCCCCAGGTAGTGAAGCTGTAACCGATGACCGATCGAAAGCAAAAAAACATCTCCTGACGAACCTCCACCGATACACATACATACACTACATTACATAAACATTACATTAGATTGCATTGCATTGTATTGCATTGCATTCCATTCCAGTACATTGCATTACATACATAGTTGTATTCCATGCATGCATACATACCTACATGTCTATGGTCAATATACAAGAACATAGATGCAACGCCGAGATCCTGCGCATGGTACAGTTTCGGACTGGACCCTCTGCCTGCAGCATCTTGGTCTAAGGGGAGGGTCAACCCCGATCCTGTACGTGTATGTACCTAATCATGATGGGCTCCATGCCCAGACTCAAGCCGCAATGGCTATCGTTGCTTGTGGCTACATGCTGCAATTGTGCTCAGGCCCTACCCAACCATCCTGGACAGTGCTTGATGTTGCTAGCTGGATGGGCTGAGAAGATTCCGTCCATGAAAAGCTGCGTAGGCACAAGCAATGTGCGGCACGACACAAACCTTCTAACAGACATAAGAAGGGCTGCGGCCAGTGTCCCGTAAGCCCCGTTCACATTCGGTGAGTGTTGGCCCCAAGGCAGGAGTGGCGGCAGCCTACTCCTCGTACAGTGTCACTGGTGTTCTGGATGTTATCCCTACTTTATATGTATATACATTTATGTTAACATGATATATATATATATATATATATATATATATCGGCTAAGAGGACCCCCCCCAACCCCCCCCGACGTCTATACGTGGGGGGGGGGGCCCCCCCCGCCGCGCGGCAATTTGATGACGTTCCACTAAACGTAGTCTTCGGGGAGCCGGTGTCGCAAAACAGGGGTCCCAGGCTCGATTCCCCCTGCCGGCTCTTTGCTGGTTTGGGGTTCCTGCCTCCTTTTGCAGAAAATCTGGAAAAACTCTGTGTTTTTGGACGTCCTAATTGTGAAAACGCTGGAAAACCCGTGTTTTTTTGCTGGAAATATTGGGGAGCAGAGGGGAAATGCAAGGAAGTGCAAGTGAAATGAGGGGAGGAAATAGGAAGTCGACATGACAGGAAAGCAGCGGGACATGAAAGGGAACAAAGGGGAACTGAAAGGGACATGCAAGGGACAGAAATGAAAACAAGGGGAGTGCAGGGGGAAGGAGAGGAAACAAAGCACAAGGAAACCAAGCACGACGGGAGATGTAGGGAAATGACTCGCAACGAAAGAACGGGACATACATGGCAAATGAAGCGGACATACCGAGAAAATGTCAGGGACATGAAGGGGGGGCTGAATGGCATGGAAGGGACAGGACCAGGACATCATGGGAAACGTGACAAGGACATGAAGGGGGAAAGCCAGTAGTGAGATGACAGTTCAGGGTCATGCAGGGGCAGTGCCCGGACATCGAGGCAACTCGGGGGGGGACGTGACGCTGCAATGCAGAGAGAGAGAGAGACAGAGAGAGAGAGAGAGAGAGAGAGAGAGAGAGAGCGGGAGAGAGACAGAGAGAGAGACAGAAAGAGAGAGAGAGAGACAGAGCCACAGACAGAGCCAGAATCAGAGAAACAGAGAAAGAGACAGACAGAGAGAGAGACAGCGAGAGAGAGAAAGACGGAGACTGAGAAAGAGAGACACAGAAAGACAGAGAGAGAGAGAGAGAAGAGAGAGAAAGAGAAAGAGAAAGAGCGAGAAAGTGAGAGAGTAGAGAGGTTCGAATTAGGGTGCCCTTTTTCTGTAGAGGGGCGTGGACAGGAAGGAGACAGGGAGACAGAAAGAGACAGAGAAACAGAGACAGCGAGAGAGAGAGAGAGTGGGAGATTGAGGAGAGAGAGGCTTGGGGGGATGGGGAGAATGGGGAGCAGAGGGAGGGAGAGAGGACGACAGAACGCACGAGGGAGACAAGGGAGAGGGAAGAAGGAGAAAAGGGAGAGGACAATGTCGGCGGACTGAGCCGGAGGCTCTAAAGTTATTGAACGCCTGCCCTACAGCCCAGTAAGCTTTCTTGAGAAGCCTATGAAAACACATTACCACCTGCTACTCGCACTGCTTGCAGCAAACACTGCTTGCACTCGCGCCTGCGCGGTACTCTTTCTCATTGATGAAGTACCTGTGGAAGCAGCAATGCTCGCGTACACGATATCTACTCAAGACAATTGTGGGCAGCAGCGTGACTTGCATCTGACTAAGTGCAAGCAGCACTGTCTGAACGGCCTTCCAGCCAGGAGACTATGGCAGCTGCCCAAGCCAAAGCCATGTTTGGGGGGAGAACTACTGCTCCAGGTCATCTATCCAAGGCCAGTACAAGTCTTACCTACCTCATTCTACTGGGAAACCCTAGCCTCTCTTGGACAGTACACCAATCCTATAGGTCTGGTTTGAAGGTCAAGAGCTGTTTGCAAAAGAGCTGTTTGCAAAAGAGTTGAGGAGCCAAGCCGCTGCGTATGCGGCACATGCTTTGCAGCGTTCAGTACACCCTAAGCATACTGACAGTCCTTGAATCTGCTTCAAGCAACAGTTGCAAACTACTGCCATAAGTGCACTCGAAGCTGTTCGAGCGCAAAACGCAGTACCTGCCATCGCCACTGACACATCTTCTATCAAGCTGCGGGAAACCTGGCTGTCATCCAATGCAAAGTCCTTTCTTTCTGCCCAGGGGACTGCAATGTGGCAGGCAAATTCAGGCGCTCCTGCTTTCTTCTCTGTCTTTCTTCTGAATCATCAAATAGCCCTCACCTCGGAAAGTCAAGGCCGGCAACTGCGCATGGCAGGTTGCTAGACGCATGCCAGTTCCTAGCCATGGGTTGATGCGTCAACACATTTCATGCCCTCGTGTGCTTGCCGTTTGAACATGACCCGTTTCTTCACCAACCAACTGACCGTCCCAAATCCCTTAGGCTGCAGCAAAGAAGGGGGGGTGCCTGGCATTGTGGGCGGCATGCCAACGTTCTGAGCTCATAAAAGGCTGGCATCATCACTCAGAATTACGCTCTCAAGCACAAAGCGCACGTACCTCTTCAAGGCGGAAAGGCAGAATTAAAGATGTCAAATGCCACCCAACGCAGCTGGACAGCTGATACATCGCTGATGTCACAACGAACGTTCGACGAAATGGATAGATGGTACTCTAAGCCATGATTCCATCATGCTGCAGACAACAATCACAGAAGGCAAAGCATCCCTTCCCTCTGACCCGGGGGCTAAACCATGCCAGAAAGCACTTCCCGCGGTGTGGTTTTGCCTTAGCTGCTGATGGACCACTTGGCACCAGCCGTGGCAATCTTGATTCTCGTCAATCCCGGGGGTGGAGTGAATGAATCTTCAAGTCCAAGGTCGAGGGTCGGTTGGGCGCCTTCAAATTGAATATGGCTGTGGGTCAAAAATAGGTACCCAAATGGAACCCTGGTAAATGGAACCAAAGACTAAATCCCGCGGTCCCCGGGTGGCTCACTTTTGACCCACACTAATATGTGTATGTATACATATATATATATACAAAATATGGGTTGTTCAACACGGCCTCAAGTCTGTGACACTTCCTTTTCTCTTCTGGCGTCCTCGAGGTGTGAACTTGCTTTGCCTGGGTTTGGAAACGCTGTTGTCTGGCTTGGTCCGGGTTTTCACAACTCCCTAGCGCTAGGCACTGGCTAGCCTCACAATAGAAATATGTAGGCACTTGCCGGGAAGAAAGTAGACATGAACTACGGGCATGCAAGAAGGGAGCTTTATCTGCTGGTCTCGCTGAGATGCCACCAGAAGGAAGGTAGATCTTTGGGAAATACATGCATAAAAACACATGCTATTAATGTATTGAGGCAGAAACAAACTGGATCAAAAAAAGCTACCCATCATCACGAGATCCGAGCAAAGCAAATTGAAGGGGACTGATACGGAACTGCGGAATCTGAGCAATGTTGGCCTTGGAGCAAAGGGCAAAGACAACACATGCCAGGGAAGTCTGGCACCATCCATGGACACACAATTTTGGCATTGGTACAAAGTATCAGATAATTCACACACAATCAGCAGCATAGCGTGCAATGAGAGGAAAACAATTCACAAGTCAGGTAGAATGCATTAACATGGCAGTAAGGGACAAGCACAAGCCCAATAAAACTACCCAGTAGAGAAAACAGGGGTGTGTCAAAACAGACTGGCCCGCTTCCCGGGAACAGTTTGTACAATCAACTCTAAATGTTTGGGCAGTTTTAACTAGGGAACCTTTCGTGCATGGTGCGGATTCATGTCTCACTGTGGCGCCTGGCTACTGGCACTAGCGCTGGTATGGCCCGCGTCTGATGGCAGGGACGGGGCCAAAGGCGGGCCTGGTGCGCTGTAGCTGTCACCCTGGGCCTGTCTTAAATTGAAACTGGCGTCGCGGAAGACACCAGTTCTATTGAACTCCCAGGGTAGGACAGTGTTTTGTCTCAGTATGGAAAACATACCTTGACCTTTGGCATTATTGAAAATGGAGGCGGCAGCTGAATGAGAGTCGACGGGGCTGGTCGCAAACATTGACGGGGCCCACATTTGTTTGACAACTGTCGTCGCGATGCAAGTCCATTGGCTTTTCTTTCTCCATCCCTCTCCCTCCATCTCTCTTTCTCTTTCTCTCTCTCTCTCTCTGTCCAAACTCGGCCGACTCTGTGCCTCGAATACAGTTGAAATGTCTGAAACAAGCACAAAGGGTTGCTGAACAAGCCAGAAATAGCTCGTCAAGCCCTCGCTATGCAAAGCTGGGATCCCCTTTATGAGGCCTCCTCTAGCCGTACACAGAGCGGGCATCAGAAAGGGCCCATGTGTTTGACAGCCCGTGATTTGCTTCATGCTGCAAACGATTGGTCCTTGCCTGCCGCCACCACAAAGTTGTCCTTGGATTCCCGAAATGGCACGCGGCAAGTCTTGAGGGATCAAAGAAGGAAGGAACATGAAGTGACAGGCTCAAATGCCCCGAGTGGACAGTGGACCTATTTGAATGGATACTCCCAAGTCTCCTCAAATGACAAAAGGCCTCAAACCCATTTGGGCCATCTTGCAAGAGAGGTGACCCTCCCACGCCCTCAAAGCAAGACGCAGTGTTCGCCTCTGCCCAAAAAACAAGTGACGCCTCCAAAAGCCCCGGTCGACGATTCTCCGAGTCATTCAGTTCAAGTCCAACGAAGGAAGTGGCCATGGGTCAAAACCCCGTACCCTCAGTGAACATGCCAATCCCCACTAAAATAGGTTCTAGACTGGGTGGTGAATTCACCTACCCCAAAAATGGGATCCCAAAACGGCTTTGACAAGGCCAAAGGACCCGATTTTTCCGGCCCAGCGGCGCCCAGGCTCGGAAAGAGGACCTTGTGGAAGGCCTTGGTCCACTCCTTGAAGTCCAGCGCCTGCGTCAAGGCTTGCCGAGGTAGAGCCGTGGGTCAGTACGGTCAATGCCCCGATCGCGTCTTGGCGGGTCTCTGAAATATCCTCTAATGCCGATGTTAGTGAAGAGAAACATGACATTGGTCTGTCCTTTTTAGCGGACCCCAAAATGGGTGTGTCCTTTTGATTTCCCTTCTGAAAACAGGCAAAAGGGTACTCTCAAGAAAAGACATGCCGGAAGATTTGTGCCTGAGTGCCAAAGGCCCAGAAATTGCAGCAGGCTCTTGGAAAAACCAGGGTATCAAAAGTATTTCTTGTACAAGGCGGTACCGCAAAATTTGTTGCATTGCTTCTCTGCTCTAAGATTCCCAGCAAGTGTACAGGGTTGACCTACACTTGATCCGAAGGCACTGGCACATGTCACATTCGTCGTAATATCATCTCGTTTGACTTCCCAAGATTTGGGGAACCCCTCGTCTTGCTATGCCCAGGACATCTGCAGGGATGAAGCATGATAACTGCAGCATTACGCAAGATATCTCCGTCAGCAGTGCTGTATTACCACCCGTCACGTGGTAGCATGTAAACCGCCATCGGCATTGCTGACCTGAAACCATAAAAGTTGTTGCACGCGTCACATCTCGTTGTCGCTCGCATACTGCCAGATTCCCAACTTGCCCCGAAGTCTGGAAATTCCCCAGTTCTGTGACTGAAGGGAGCATCAATCAACTTGCCCCGAAGTCTGAAAAATCCCAATCGCTTGCATAACCCCTGACCACTCACCTTGTCTTCGTCCAGGCGGAGCTCAAATGGCTTGCTTTGATTCCTGCCAGTGAGTCGGTGGCCAGCTGAATCCACTTCCACCTTTCTGAACCGTTCCGGGTGCCTTGGCAGATCGACTTGAGTTGCCCCAACAGCTGGGCCCAAATCAACTCAGCCTGTCAACGAAATGAAAAGAGTGGTTGAGCCACACAACACCAAAAGAAAACATGATCTGCCAGATCCAAGCGTTGGCCAAAAACACAAGATACAGTCAAAGAAACGTGACCTACGTGTTTACCAACAACTCTGCTACCAAAGCAGCATTGAACACCGCTGCAGCGTCCTCTGCAAAATACCTTGCACACAGTCTGCCGCATATGCGTACAAATACCCACATCCTGGATGTTCATGCCAATTGAGTCTGCTAGCATGACTTCCAACTTGTGTGGCTCACAGTCCTTTGGAAGCGGCCGTATCGCTTTGCGTGTACATTGAAGATATCAGGCGTTGACAGCTTAGATGGCGTAACTCTCCTTGTTTTCTCCGCTCTAGCATTCCCTGGTTGAAGACACGTCCCCGCTAATATGGCTGAGCGATTTTGCAGTGGTGGCCCTTCCTTCTGATGGTTAGACTTTCTACCAAATTGCACCTTCAACATTGCACTTGGGCAATATTCAAGATGCTACATGGTTGGGGATTGTTGATGACATGTTTCCGGTGCATGTTTTGGGTCAAGAGTGCCTAAGTCACCAGCCTAACTTGCAAGTGTCCATACAGGGGTGTGTCACGTTTCGGTGCAAAACGTGGACCAATGATCAGCGCTTGAGTACTATGGCGGCTGACCAGAAGTCCTGCCTCCAGAAACGCCATTCTTTGCGAGGAAAAGTCTTTCGGGAATCTTTCGCGACTCCATCGCCACGCCCTTTTGTTTGCGGCGTGCGCTCTGGAGCCGTTCTTGCTGCTGCAGTTGCGCTCGCAAGCCCAGTAGCCACGCGGTTCACTTGCCTGGCAGGCTTGCAGCGACGTGAGATATTGCAAGCAGTCACTACCATTCGCCCTTTCCGCTTGTGCTTGCTGTGACTGCTCCGTCCTGGGCCCAATGTGGGGAACCCTGCAACAAGCGCAATGGTTGTGACCTACTCTGTCAGCCAAACTGGCGCTTTCCTGACTATATTCTTCTACGTTTTGTGGACGATCCACATGCGTGAGTTCAATGCGCTTTCCGGGACGTATACTATTTGGTTACACGTTGTTACATGCTAACCACCCCTCCTCCGAAAAAAAAATGAAGGAAGGGGTGCCAGAAATCATGAAGCATCGTCATATACAAAAATCACAAAAGAGTACACAATTCGAAAACAAACATATTTGTTTACGCAAACAAATGCGATTTTGCGACTGTGGCTAAATCTACGTTCTGGTTCTACGAGTTGTTTCCGATTATTGTTCACAACTTCCGGGACTCACCAATTTCCTTATCCGATAGTCCCCCAAGATGGTAAACCAGAAGCAAACAGGTGTAAACAAATCGTAGTCCCAGTGTAAGAGAAACATAAACGCCAATCAGACCAAAACTGTACCTAAACCGTAAAGAACAAATGGGCTACGTACCCTTATCTTAGCCTACACCGTAGGTCACAGCTTCATGGACGTTCGCCCGGTCTTTGGCGAAAACAGCCCGGCCAACGGCTTCCTTTGCGCCATTCCCAGAGCAAGCAGGGAATTAAGAACGCGTGTGAAGGTGCTGCGTATCTCCCCGTCTGCAAGGAAGTGGGGTTTGCGAATATGTCAGCTTGCAAGCATCCCTCCGAAAAGCCGTCGCAAAATCTTTCGCGAAGAAAAACGACATCTCTTTCGCGGGCACAAACGACTGCAGTGCTATGGCCCTCCGTCGACAACCTCCCATGCCCAATGTGTCCTCACTTCGACGACGAAGCGCAAATCTTTCACCTGGGCAGCAGCTTTCCAAAATGAGGCCAGTAACCTGACTGTTGGTGAGCGGGGCAACTGGAAATCCTCAACCCCGATCGGGTGCTTGCGCCCGACACAGTGCCGACAATCTCAGCCAACGTGTGCCATGCCGCCGGCACAAGATCAACGATCCTCAAAAAAGGGACCTTCTATGATCTATCGAGAGTTCATGAAGTTGCTACCGAGACAAAATAAGCCAACAGCACAGCCCGCCCATGAGCAAGGGCTACAAAGTCAGGCATTGCCTTTCTAAACTCCTCTGCGGTCACATGCTGGTTTTTTTCCATCCATGTTCGTTGCATATAGGGGGTAGTTTCCTGTGTTTCCTGAAGCTAGAGATCCCTCCACATTGATGGTGTCATATTCCTTTCAAAGTATCCCGAAATGGCTCCCTACGTTTGCAACACTCCAGTATCTACCTGTTCTGATCTAGCCTTTGCACTCCTCGTCTCGCAAAAAGGAAGCCTGTTCCTTCCGAGGCGCCACAAAGCGCTCAATCTCGGAGAGCAACTGCTGGCCTCTTGGAGCCTGAAAGCGCTTAGACAGTCCTCTGCCGTGCGAACAAGCACACGCGTGCCGCAAAGACCGGTGGACAACGCCAACCTATCTGACAAAATTCGCTGCGCCTGGCCCTTTTCGAAGTCAGCCTGCGACTCGTGCCGATCCAAGCCTCAGAGAAATCCCGCGGTCACAATGCAATAGCTCATTTGATCACTCGGTGGATCAAACTATTGTTTGAGGATCAACAAAAACAATATGTATGTTCATGTATGTCTATATACATATATTTGTATATATGCTACCCCTTCCTGGAAATACTCAAGTTTTTGGCCAGAACTGAGGTTTTTGGCCAGACCGGGGTGAGAAATGCCTTGAGATTCTGAAATGAACTGACTGGACGCTCAACTCCATGCAAATTCCAACCAAGCAGAAGTTAAGCTCAACGTTGAAGGAGTTGCGAGTCGTGTGACCGTCACATTGGAGCATGCAAAGTTCACTTTGGCAGCTCCAGCTCAGAAAGCACAACTGTCCAGTACAAGAGTAGTGTGCGAAGTATGCTTTGGCAGCTTCAACGCGCCTGTAGCAGCTCTGCTATTTTGTGTTTCTTACTTTTGTTTGGCAGCGAAATTAAGCAGATCATCAACTTGGGGAAAAGGAACTCATTCCTACTTCATGTCCTTGCGCAGTTGCATTTACGTGTTAACTCGAGTGTTGTGCAGATTTCCATGTACATGCTAGTTCAGTCTATTTGAAACATAACTATCCCATGTGTGTGTGTTGCTTGTCTAACTTGGCTCAACCATCGCCAATAACAACTATTGAAATTCAAGCAAGGGAAGGATATCCAGTTTAAAACGCTTTCGAGTTCAAACCAAATTCAAGTTTACTCGTTTACAATGTCTTGTGCATTTCAAAAATCAACTAGAGAAGATGGCTATTGTCATGGCCAAATGAATTTGGAATCAAACTCATTTTTGAAAGGGTTATTGTCCTTATCGAACTCCATGTGGTTTGAACCAAGCAAGAACTGAGCCAAGCCATGACTTCCAATCATACATCTTGTTCTTGGCATAAATGCTGTAAAACGCAGCGTTTTACAGCAATTGCTCAGATCGTGTTGCCCTGGATCGAAGATCGAGTATACAAGATTCCACAAACAGATGTTTAGAACATCCTCAATCCTGGTCCCCTAAAAATTTGACAGTTTGTTCTAGACTCATTAAGGTTTTGCCCCCTGAATTGAAGATTGAAGATCTACCAGATTTTCTATTTGAGAATCTTCCATCCTGGAGTCCACAACAAAACTGTAAAGATGTCAACAACAATTTTCCCCCCTGGCCAAATGCAGGCAGTGCAAGTGCACATCCACAGTTTGATTCTGACAACGTGCACTCCCGGTCTGCCTTTTGGATTCTTCAATCCGCACTTAGGGCAACCCAGGATCTGAAGATTGAAGATTCTCTGACAACTCTTTCTGAAATTCTCCAAATATGTAGTTAGGGCAATCCAGGATGTGCTAGCACGTGCTAGCACATCCTGGATTGAAGATTGAAGATTGAAGAATCCCAGAGAGAGTTGTCAGAGAATCTTCAATCTTCAATCTTCAATCCAGGATGTGCTAGCACGTGCTAGCACATATCAGTTTGTCCTAAGGATGGATTGAAGATTTCCAGAACAAGTGGTCTCAGAATCTTCAATCTTCAATCTTCAATCCAGGATGTGCTAGCACGTGCTAGCACATCCTGGATTGCCCTAAGTACCGATGCTAGAATTTAGGCCTAAAAAGGAGTGCATTTTTAGAGCCTCATTTTTAGAAGCTGGAACGTGTGTTGTGCATGCATTTTTACAGCCAAATGTCAATTTCTAGCCAAAAACCTGAGTATTCCAGGGGCGGGGTACCATATATATATATATATATATATATATATATATATATATATCACGCACGCATGCGCATGCCAAACTTGTTAACACGTCTCGCTTTAGTGTGAGTTGTCCATGGGGATTTAGAACCAAAGGGCCGCTGCTAAGGACCAGAGATGTTTTTTTGCGCGGGGCATTTCACCAGGACCATAGAAAGGCATCCTGCTTAATCCCTCCTAATGGTTCCCCTGAAAATAACCATGTTGCTCCAAAATCCAAAGTCGGCAATACTAAATCTAGAATCCTATGCAATTGGCCAATTGCCATGTCTCTCTTGCCCATCCAATACCGGAGGGTCGGATTCAATCTCACTCCATGGTTGTCTCTGCGTGGATAAACACCCCCGTCAGACTGCCATTGGCCTCGCGAGCCACGGAAGGGCCCCCAGAAGCGTAGGTTCCAGGCTGTCTGGTCGCAAGACAAAGAAGGGGGAGATTGCCTGGCAGCAACGACAAAAGGAAGGAAACAATGCCACACGCGAGTGATAAGCAGTTGTCTCCGCACAGCAGGATGGACACTTAGAACATGGATTCGCTGTGAGTAGCCATCCCCCTTGGAGCGATCTGGGAGCTTCCATCGGGTCGAGATTTATTTTTGGGTTTTTTGTTTTATTTTGGGAATTTGTTTTCTTTTCCGTCCTGGCTACTAACATGCTGTGATTTACAGCATTTTCTTGCGAAATGTACGTATTGTACGCTAGTCCGTCAACATCATCAGCATCGTTTTCAACATCCCCCGCATGTCCAGCCAACATCCCCAGCATCACCAGCAAATCGAGGGCCTTGGCTTCCTACATCTTTAGCATCATCAGTTCCTCTCCAGCAAGGTAGGTAGGCATTTATGTATGCATGTTAAAAAGAGGGGCGGGTCCCTGCCATGATGGTAAAAGTGAGGATTCAAATACGGGCAAACGCCAAATATCCAAAAAGTCAAAAAAGTGATGATTCAATCAGGGGCAAAAAAGTGCAAAAAGCAGCAGGGGGGGGTTGGGCCCCCCCCCACATGATGATCGAAGGAAAAATAGCGGGGAGGTTGGGGGCGGCAGCCCCCCCATGATGTCGCAGATTCAGAGGGATGGAGAAAGCTGCAGCTTTCCCATATTTGGTTGCTCCATCTTTCGGGAAGGAGTGCTTCTAAGGTGGCATGAGGGGCTCGGTGTCCATCTCTCTGCCAAAGGGTAATGGATTGCTAGCCAAGGCCGGTTCATATACACAATGCAATTCATTTGCACTCTCGCCCCTCGTTGGATTCATTGCCTCGGGTCACACGCTTGTTTGCACCCAAGCAGCTCTTCGGCTGAAAAAATGGCGGTCACAACGGCTGCCTGGTGAGTCCACACAGCCCACACTGAGAGGTAACAGCAGCTCACTCAGGGTGCTGGATACTTTTTAAGTAAAATTTGTTAACTATGCTAGCTGGTAGCGACCCCAAAACAAATCAAGCCAGCATCTAGCGGCAGGCTGTGATTTCTTCTACTTCCGCCCCGCCCGCGCAAGCGGTGAAAAAAACTCTGTCACCTGGGATGATCAAGAAAGTGATGATTCAATTAGGGGCAAGAAAATCTAACAAGCAGCGGGGGGGTTGGGGGGGGGCTGCTGCCCTGCTGCCCCCCCATGATGATTGAAAAAGTGATGATTCAATTGAAGGCGTGGGGGGGTTGGGGGGGGCGGCAGCCCCCCCATGATGATCGAAAAAGTGATGTTTCAATGAGGGGCAAAAAGTCTAAAAAGTAGCGGGGGTTGGGGGGGGCGGCAGCCCCCCCCATGATGATTGAAAAAGTGATGATTGAATTAGGGGCAAAGAATCTAAAAAGTAGCTGTCGCATGATGATCGAAAAAGTGATGATTCAATTAGGCGTGCATTTTAATCGAAAGCGGGGTGGCGGGGGGAACTGGCGATGCTGAGGATGCAGGAAGCCAAGGCCAAAACCAACTGGAAAAGCAGCGGATGCGAAAAGCCAAAGCCAGAAAGCCGCCAACAGCCACAAAACCAAAAAGCCACCTGCCGCAGCGGAACTGGCAATGCAGAGGATGCAAAAAGCCAAAGCCGCAAAAGCTGCATGAACCCACAAAGACAAACAGAGAGGAACTGCGAATGCAGAGGATGCGAAATGAAAAGCCGCAAAAACCCACGTAAACCCACGTAAAAGCCACAAAAACCCACGTAAAAGCCACAAAAGCCAAAAAGCCGAAAAGCCACCCACCCTGAAAAAAAATGGCCCTCCGCTTCCATCTCAGGAGGAAGGCCACAGCGCACAGGTTACAGTAGCCAGCTGCAAACCTTTTTTGTGCAGTTTACTCTGCGGGTCAGCCTGTGCCAGCCTTTTCCACCTCCTTTTGGATTTCTGCCCAAACAGCGGAACAAGCCGCAATACCCTGGATTTGCTCCGACCAAGATTTTGCAAACAAATGAACTGACATCTCTGCAGACCGATGGCCAAGACACACGTGGAACAGGTAGAAAATAGTCGGGAGCTGAAAGTTTTGATTTGGAAATTGAAAAGCGCAGCTCTAGTGGAAAAAAACAAACAAACCTGGATTTGGCAATTCTCCGTGATTTGGACACTACAAAGGCCTGATTTGGGAACCACTTTTGCCACGGATAAAACACGCCGTGCTATCACCCCGCTCCCTTCTCCCCAGTCAGTCTGTCAAGGGTGGCGGTATCTCCGAATGGGGCCAAGGCGCACTCTGAACTGCATAGCTGCCAAAGCCATATATTGTTCTGTTTCTTGTTGACCTCGCAACTCGCCTTTTCATGATAATGAGGCAGGGCGAACTGTATGTCAATCAAAGTTTCCCAAATAATTAAGAGCAACATACTGGCCTTTCACTGCTTGCCTGGCTTGTGGGCAACAGCTTGTTGCTACAATGGAGGCCGCTTGCTGGAGGAATGAGTTATCAATAGCATTTCTTGCTCTTGCAGCAGAGGTGTTGCTTGATGTGTGTGTGTGTGTTTGATGAAAGCTGGATTTTTCGGCTCAGCGCCACAGCTCGCCTTGCCCTTGCGCTCAACGGTCAAGTAACCGAAGTGCACAATCTTCGCCGTGGCTGCCTGCAGCGTTCCAAATAGCCACTAGCCACTGCTATCACTGATCACTGAGGGCCAAGTCGAAACGGCTGGACTGGAGCAGGACATGAAAAAGCTTTAAAACAAATAAAAAAAAACGCAAACATACACACTGAACACTGGTGTTGAAGCTGTTGAGGCTCTACTGGATAGATTTCAAGCAAGTCCTGGGCCTGTCATAACAATGGCCTTCCTTGGGCAAATCCTGGCTGTCGGCCAACCAATTCCCTAAATCTCTAGAGCCATCCCAAGCACAGTTCAGATCTCTGTGTGCACAACGACCGGAAGAACAAAACATGCAAAAAGAGAACCAATGAAGATGTATGCATGTATGCATGTATGAATGTATTCATGTATGCATGTATGCATGTAGGCATGCATTCATGTATGCATGCATGGATGTATGGATGCATGGATGTATGTATATGTGTGGATGCGTGGATGTACGTACGTATGGATGCATGGATGTATGGATTGTATGTATGGATAGATGGATGCATGGATGTATGGATGGAGGTATTTATGTATGGTTGTATTTGTGGATGCATGGATGTTCGTCCGTATGGATGCATGGATGTATGGATATGTATGGATGGATGGCTGGATGGATGGATGCATGGATGTATGGACGGATGTGTGGATGTATGGATGTATTTGTGGATGCATGGATGTACGTACGCATGGATGCATGGATGTATGATATGTATGTATGGATGGATGCCTGCGTGGCTGCATGGCTGCATGGATGCATGGATGTATGTATATGTGTGGATGCGTGGATGTGTATGGATATGTATGATGCATGGATGTATGGATGGATGTATGTATATATGTGTTTGCGGAGGCATGGATGTATGCAATGCATGGATTGATGGATGGATGGATGGATGGATGGATGGATGGATGGATGGATGGATGGATGGATGGATAGATGAATGCATGCATTATGGATGGATGGATGGATGGATGAATGGGTGTATATGTCTGTCTGTCTGTCTGTCTGTCTGTCTGTCTGTCTGTCTGTCTGTCTGTCTGTATGTATGTATGTATGTATGTATGTATGTATGTCTGTAAGTGTGGAAGTCTGCATGTCTGTATGTCTGTATGTCTGTATGTCTGTATGAATGTATGTATATGTGCATATGTGTATATGTGTATGTGTATGCGTGTATACGTGTATGCGCGTATACGTGTATACGTGCATATGTGTATATGTGTATATGGGTATATGCGTATATGTGTATATGCGTATATGCATATGTGCCTACATGCGTATCTGCGTATATGCGCATATGCGTATATGTTTATATGCATATATGCGTATATGCAAATATGTGTATATGCGTATGTGTGTATGTGTGTATGGGTATATGCATATATGTGTACATGTGAATGTATGTATGTATGTATGCATGCATGTATGTATGCATGTATGTAGGTAGGTAGGTATGTATGTACATATGGATGGATGGATGGATGGATGGATGGATGGATGGAAGGAGGGATGGATGGCTGGCTGGCTGGCTGGATGAATCTATGTATGTATGTACGTACGTATGTATGTATGTACGTACGTATGTATGTACGTACGTATGTACGTGTATATAGCTATATATATAGATGATATTGTGATTGTTGTCTTTGTACACTGCTCCTAGGTGGGCGCTGCTTCTGAAGCCTGTCATTGGTGCATTCCACTGCAAAATAAGCATCGCATTCATTTCACCTTGAGCGAGCGCCCGGGCCGGGCTGCAAATCACTGCGTCAATGGTTCCACTGTCTTGGAGCAAGTTGGCGCGATTGCTTGAGATAAAACTCGCCCAAGACAACGGATTGCTTTTCTGTTGCTTGCCTCACAACGCAGCCACAACTTCAAAAGTCGTACAATACAATCGAGTGCTCTTTGGTTTCTGGTTTTTGGGGAAGCCATGTTGGCACAAAAGTTCTATCACGATACAATGATCTTCTCAAGAATGACTACAGCTCCGAGGCATGCAATACCTCCGTACTTGCCGACATGCGAAAGCTCTGCCCATCTGTGCCGTGAAACTGGCGGCTGCATCTGCAGCCGGCTATCCTATCCAGCCATTTCAAAGCCAACCTGCCGGGACCAGCGCCAGAAGCCCTGAAAGCAGGGAATGACCCAGCACGGCTGCTCTCTGAAATGATTGAAGGTGGATTTCCTTTGCCACCGAAAGTCGAAGCCACGCTTCAACTGACATATGTCTTAAAAAGAACATCTCCAGGTGGGGTTCCACCACCTGTGGATGTCAACAGTCGTCGGTGTAAGACAGTTGCTCGGCAAGGCGAACAAGCGCCTGGCCTGGTCATGGATAAGCACTCGCGCGCGCAACTGCAAGCGAGGATTTTGTGTTTCCGTCCACGTCGATGCCCAACAAGACGAGCCACCCGACAAAGGGCCAAAAATCGACATAGCCCAACAGGGAACGCATATGCAACCACAAACTTGTCTTGCTTTGATGTCCGGCCAGCGGCTCGCGCTTCAAAAAAAGCCGACGTGCATCCAAGCTCTCTTTGCCCATGCTCGCCCTTGCGCTTTTAAATTTGGACAATGGAAATTTCTTCGGGGATCCGACCAACTTTTCCCTTGAAACTCACCAAACACGTACCAATTCCATGGTACTTGGATGCACGTGTGAGATGCCCCAGCCATGGGCTCGACTGGGCTGCTCGGTGTTTTTCCGCCGGGCGCCGCGCCGGGCATAAGCACAGGCCAAGGCAGGTTGCCAGCTGACGTATCCAAAAGATGAAAGCGCAAACGTCCAGCAACATCCAGAAGCCCCAAACAAACACCCAGAAAGACTAACATAAACTCTGCTCTGGAGATGGTTGTTTTGCACCATGGCTTTTCTTCATCTAGTCTACCGAGCAAATGCTGTAGACTGGTCTGTACAGTGGAACAAACATGGTGCCACACACAGAATGTGTGATCTACAGGAGGGGTTGTGCTTCGGGCATGTTCTACGTCTGAAGAAGGGTCATTCCTTGCGCTCCGTGAAATCGAGAAGGCGTGGCTATCATTAACGATCCTATAGGAGTAAACACAAATTCACCAGTCTTGAACACCCGTCATGTGGGAAAAGGATCCAATCTTGGGCATCACGAGCCGAAACTGCCTCCACGAACAAGGTGGAACGCTTTGCTATGCGTCACAGAAGTCGCCCTATGGCCAGCCGTCGCGTTGGCAACTCCTTGGCCTGCATAAGCCATTGCGACAGGTTGAACCAGATCTCAGACTGTCGCACCTGGCGTCGAAACAATAACTGTGAAAAAGTTGGGCATGCTAGTTCGACAATGTTCGACATTCTCAACGTCACCCGCCCACTAAAGCCCTCAACTTTTAGAATAGCAGATGATGTCAAAATCAAAGGAGGCAAAAGTCAGTTTCCAAGGCAGGAGTTGTCGAGGTTTAACCAACTGTCCATTAACTTATGGCGGTCCATGCATTCAGCGCAGAAAGGCTTCTTTTATTCACTGTGTTTCACGAGATGCTTAGTTGTTCGTATACACCCATATAATATATGTATATATATATATATATTGGCCAGCTAGTTGCTCCAAGTATGCAAGTGATACCCGCTTGATACCCGCTTGTTGAAAAGTGGACTGGTCGAAGTTTCTGAGTTTGTGCATCCCAAGGTATACTCGCAACCCCATGACAGAGACTTGTACAGGTGTTCTTAAACATCCATGCGCTGCGAGTGTCCATTCTGGAGGTAGTGGATTCCGTTGAATGCATTCGACTTCCGTTGCCACAATCTGAAGGCGTGCCAAATGTCAGTCATTACTGACTACATGGAAACACCGCAGCATATAGCAATGCAGCACGCCGGTGAATTGCACTTGCACTGATGCAACTTTGGTCGATGACATGACTCGGTTGTAGGTGGCATCCCGTCGGGAGACACAAGGTGACCGCCTTGACGGAGAGATCATATTCTCAGTGCTCTCTTGCAGCCACTCCCTCCACGACATGCCCTTTTTCTGTTGAGAGTTCATGCGACCAGCGCTTCCAGCCCAGTTGGCTGCGGGAGAAAAAAAACTAAACTTTGTGAGGATCGCCGCCTTGTTCAGCGTGGTCAGTCTCTGCGCCACCACCCGTGCTCGTTTGCATGGCACATGCGGTTTGAAGCGCGTCCCGTGCCTCCCAAGGCCAATGGCTGTCGCGTACAGTTCAGTTCGCCGGCTGAAATGAGGGACGCCAAGAAACGCAAGCTGAGATCGCCCCTCCCCGTGAGGTTGTCAAAAGCACCAAACGCCGTGCACAGCGTCTGACGCAGCAGGGTCGATTCAAATCCGGTAGAACGAGCAGCAGGCAGCACCACGGTTTGAGGCTTGGGCGTTCAGGAGATTTGCCAGGGCCACTCTCGACTCACTTTCTCGTCTTGAGGTCTGCCGAGGTCGCAGATTTCGACTCGAGAGCTTTCCAGTGAAGTTCAACTGTTGCACGTCTACCTAACTTTCGTAGTCCTCGCGTAGTCTTCCCGACCGTTGTCTTTCCGTTCACATGCACAAGGGTTCTCCCTCTACTACACGACATGCTGTGGGCCAAAGGATTGCTAGCAAGGTCTTCATCGTCTTATCAGTTGGTTGTCGGTTTTGCTAGGTGATTATGTGTTTGTTTGCATTGATGTTCGAAAATCGTGTCCCGATTCAAAGGCTGACCAGGGCCTTCTGTAATCCTGTTCTCTCTTATCGGTTTACAGCGGTGTTGCATTCTTCATCCCTAGATAATAGAAAAACAACAACACATGGCCCACTGAGGGACACAACACGTTTACTCAATGACTTAATTGTACGTCAGGGTGGCGAAACATAGTTCACCTTAGCAGTGCTACGTTGCAAAAATAACGCCGAGGGCTTGAAGCGATGGCTCGAACGTGTTCAAACAAAGGGGTGGCCCTCGCTGCAACCTGGGAGCTGTCGCCTCAAGCCGAGGCTCTCAATCTCCACGGTCCTGGGCT